TTATTCACATTTTGTATTTATTTCTTTCTTATAAATAAGATCTCTCTGTTCTATACTTTTAGTCTCAGATCTGAATACTTTTAAACAATAAAAATAATTATAAATTATAAAATTAAAACTTATTCATATCGCATTTTATCTTGTTTATAATCATTAACAAAATAATCTTATATATATTAACTTCAAATTAACTTAAATTTTACAAAATAAATTTGAAAGAAAAAATAAAGTTATTAAATTATTTATTTTTATAAATAAAAAAAATTTGATATAAATTAACAAATCAAAAAAGTTTAATTTAAAAATATGAAATATTATGAAATATAATAATATTTTTTTGTTAAATATTTTAATATTTTTTTCTCTATTATAATCACTTTCTTTTGTTTTTTATATTATATTAAAATATATCAGAATCTTGTGAAATTCAGATTTATATTAATAATATTATTACTTTAACTGTTTAATTTTATTTCTCAAGTCTGTAATATATAAATAATTTTTAAATATTTTATAATCATTCATTTTAGTTTTATTTTTAAAAAATAATATTTGACCAGATTATTAAAAACTGAATTATAATCAAATATAGCAGATTTTTGAAAATATATAAATACTTTATTCAGATTTTTTTTGTTTATATTTAAAATAATATTGAAAGTCAAGTTTATATTGCTCAATATATCTGGTTTTTGCTGATCTTAAGTATTAATCAAATACTTTTTTATTATCTTTTAATCTTTCTAAGTTATATTTATAGAAAAGAACAAGTTTATATTATTTTATAGCATGCTCTTTTTTAGCAAACTTTAAATACTATTTAAATACTTGTATTTTATCTTTTAATATTCCTATTACTAAGTGAATTTCCATCTGATTTTGTTTTTCGGCATATTTATTTCAGTAAATATTAAATACTATTCAAATACTTTTGTTTTATCTTTTATAATTCTCTTTTCAAGATGATAACAAGCTTTCACTTTATTTTGTCTTTTAGCAAATTCATTTTCTGCCAGTTTTAAAAGCCACTCAAATGCTTTACTCTCATTTATTTTTGTCTCAAACTCAACTGCAAAACAGATACATATATTGCTACAATTATTTCATTAAAATCTGCAATTCTGAAAATCATGAAGGAAATTATCCTGACCAACAAATATTCCATAACACCACATATCTTATTTTTCAGCATTTTCCAGTATCACATTTGTAATCGTACCCACACCTCTTAACCTCTATTTTTTCATATTTTCTAGTATATATTGTCAATACTAAGAATCATGATAATTTACCCTCTTATTTTTTCACATTCTTTAGCAGATATTATCAATAATTGCAACGACTTTCTTTTCTACCATTTTTCCAGCATTTTCCAGCATTTTTAGTATAATAAACCATGCCACGCTTACTTTAGTAATCCTTTACCACCACCTAATCATTAATATAATAAAGAAATTAGTTAGAATTAGAATGGTATATTTTTTTATATATAGCAGCAAATAATAAAATATATAAAACAAATAGCGCTCAGACCTTTAAATAAAACAGAAATAAAATTACGTACATTACCTTTTCTCCAAGAGAAATACTTGTAAAATCGCTTCATTGGAATTGTAATTTTAATGTATTAGTTAGGTTCTTTCTATCAGAAAAGATAACAGTTTGGTTAGGTCCTTTAGTTCAGAAAAGGTGAGATGCATCATTCATTGAATAGTTTGATTAATTCAAGTTTAAGGCTTTTATCTAGAAAAAGCGTAGGAATAAATAGAATAGAATAGTTGATAATTAATAAATGAAAATCCCCTTCACCTCTCTCCATAATTGCCCACTCGCTCACCTTTGGAAACGCTCAAATTGAACGATATCCGTAGATATCGGCACAGGATTTAGGCCAACAGGTGAGATTAGTCTAATTGCTCTCTCCCATCCACAGTCACGGTGCACAAATTTCCCCAAATCCACGTAATTTCAACCCACCTGTGACAGTACCAAGTAAATGTTTGATCTCTATCGTCGCCGTTTTCTGCTGGTTTTGAATCATTCAAACGCTTTTTTGTTGTTATTTTCTATACCGTAACCAAATATGTTGTCCTATAACATATCTTTTTTCAACAAATTTTATAATACCTTTCAAATGCTTTATCTATTTCCAAATTCTTCAAAACAGAAACCAACTTCGTATTTTCCTCTAGCATAACCATTTCTGCCAACTTGAAGCACTCAAATGTTTTTTTTCCATCTTTGACTCCATCTCCTAAGTTGTAACAAGTTTTTTATTAATACTTCTAATATTGATTATTGTATCATCAAATACAAGTGCATCTTATTGTTTGTTTCAATATTCTCTTTAGCTATTAAATTATTGTTTTTATGTTTCATAATACATTATTGCATCAACGAAGTCGTCATTATGAGCGTTTTATTTTTATCGGGATTCGATACAGTATTTTTTTGTAGCCTTATTTTTATGTTTCATGAAGGTTTCTTTATTATCTTCGACAATATCAATAGTTTGAAAGGTACACGCTGAATCAGCGGGATTAAGTTCCATAGTAGGCGCGAAAAGAGTCTTTGCTATTGCACTTTTATTTACTTGCGTAAAATAAAAAGTATAATTCTTATAATCAATGTTAAAAATATCAGCAAGCTACACTGCAATTTTTCTCATGTCGATGTAATTTTCAAACAAGAATCATTTTTCGTTGACTTACATGTACATGTATCTTAGCATGATTTTTTGACAGAATGTCAATTTGAGAGTAATTGAATGCATGATCTGTTATTTTTTTTAAAAACAAGTTCTGGAAGAAAGGCATAAGAGATCTTGACCGTGGGCTTTATATAAGTCATTTAAAAAAACTAAAAACTCATGTAATCATAATAATGATTTTCGTTATGTTATGCTTCATTCCATTTCTCTTTAACGTTAAGGATCCAGCGCACACCTGGATAATCTGAACTGCATGTATTAATCACGCACAAAACGAACGCAATCTACAAAAGCTATGTTATAAAAATTCCAGTACAGCATGAAGTGAAAATATGATTTATATACATACATGTACTTTATTAGCGTCCGCTCTATTTATTATTTTGCTTTCGTATAATATTTTTGGAAGTTTTACAAACAAGAGCTGTCTTAAATTTTTCCATGACCGTAGGTATGATTTTTATTTAATGTTAAACGTTAATCGGAATAGAAATTTTTGCTTCTCCAAAGAAAAATAATATAATATCAATTCAGAATTATTACATTGAAATTAACTCAGAAATTATAATTTAAGAAATTATCAGTGTTCTTGTTTCAAAAATCCCAAACTTATTTTTTTGATGTATTATTTATTATTTTCCCAAGTCGCGAAAATTTTCTAACAGCAGCATCATCATAACTCTGAGTAACGGACATTTTCAGTTGTCGGCCTCGATAATTTCCCAACGAGTCATTCGCATCTTCCAATTTCCAAATCAACTCTGGTATCTCACTTGTCAAATACGTCTGAATCTGATCTCCGTACTTTTCCAAAATATTCAAATCAACCAATGCAAACGGCGCCAAAATCTTTTTCACATCCTCTTCGAATTTCTGCGTCGTGTAAATTTCGGGAATCTGACGATAATTAAATACTATCGTGACTGTTGTGCCGAAATTGGCAACCACTTTATAGAATATTTCTTCGAGTGCCGCAATGAATGCGTCTACAGTTGCAATTGCCGCACGATTTACGTATGATAGGCTTTTCACAAGGTCATGGTCGAATGGAATTTGAAAGTAGTCCAGTTCTAGCTCTAGTTCTTGACGGGTTATCAACGGTGTTGGTGGGATTTTACGAGATGATGACGATGAAGAATATGAGAATTCTTTCTCGTCTGGCCAGAGTATTTTTCCAGTTCGATAATATTGTAAAATATATCTGAATGCGTATCCGTCCCTATCTATAAAGTATTCGTTTCCGTTGGGACCGTTGGGATGAAGTAACTCTTTATTTCTATCTTGAAACATTGTGCCAAGCAATGTTTCTGGATAAGCTGTTAATGTAGACCTATAAGTTTCATACTAAAATAGTTTTATGGGAAACTTTAATGTCTTAAAAAAAATTCCCGCCATTTCAATGCATTTATTGTATCGAAATTTATAATAAATAGAATTACCTTTGTTCCACCAACATTCAAAACTATCCGTTCCAATTTGTTTTTTTGATTATCCTTTGGGTCCATATACTACGCTCGCGAAATTTAATTTATCGTTATGCAATGTTAAATATTTTGTTATTTACGATGATGAATCTCGTGATACATTTTTCAAATCCTTTCAAAAAAAAGAATAACTGTCTATCGCTAATTATCTTAATGAAGTTTTTTTTAGTGTAATGCTTGAGAAACGACACAACGCTTATCGTTTATCGTTATGACTACATGTATAAATAAACTTTTTTACGGATCTACATTTTACCGTTACAATATTCTGTGTAAATTGGTTTTATGACGATAACGATAAGATATACAATACATACATGTATAAATATGGATTCAGTGATTAACATGACATAACGATAACTTGCTTGCAGACCAAATTATAATAGCGATAGGACATTTTTTTGCAATACTTAGAATTATAGTAAGATTTATCGTTACTTAGTGTATGCCTTGAGATCAAATAAAAAAATACTTCTATCTGTTGTTTTTAGAAATTAGAATATGGGCAATGTACTGTTCACATGTACATATAATTTGAAAAATTTGCACGATAAAGTTTCAAAGTTGATATCGATATGACCATTAATGTTTCGTGATACGTGTCACAAATAAATTTTTATAACGCCAAAAATTTTTATCCGTTATTAAAAACGTCATTATTTTTTAAAATCTTAATCCAGTTAGTGCTCCGAACCGGTCGAATCAACGAGTTTTAAATCGAGTCGGAATTAACACGAGTTCTAATTTTTTTTTTTACTTGAACTTTGATTTTCATTCTGATAATATATTCTTAAAACGCGAAAATCTTCACTTAGTGAACTTTTTTATTAAAAGGTTTTTTGGAGAGAAAGATCTTCATCAGAACATAAAATGCAAAAATTCATAATGTTTCAACTGTCTGTAAGTATTTTTAAAAAAGTTAAATATATATAATTAATTAATAGTGTCCAAAAGTAATAAGACATGGATTCGCAAAATTGGGATTACAATCCAACAAATCTTTGGCGTCGGATAGAGCATCATCATCCAAAATTCAGATTAAATACAGTTAGACAGAAAAGTATGGATTTTACATAAATTAAAAAAATTAAACTTCGTAATAATTTATTATTATCTTCATACTTTAACGTTAATACATGTGCTTTGTACTTTTAAGTTAACAAAGCAGATTTGCTACCAAATGGATAACGATAATTGCTGATGATCCCAATAGAACGATCTGATAACACATGTACAGTCGCCACAAAAAGTAACGTCCGATTTGCAATTAACATAAATATAATTTCGGCTTATTTTATTTTTCATATTATACATTCATAATTAATTAATATTTTGTCGACCCTTCTTTGCCTCCAATACCGCGAAGATTCTTCTTGGCATTGAGCTGATAAACTCCCTAAGAATATCGACATCAAATTTCGACCACCCTCTTTTAAGGCAGTTTTGAGCTCGTCCACAGTTCTTGGAAAGCTGGATATTATCCTTTAGCAGCTTCCAAATATTCTCTATAGGGTAAAGGTCGGGGAAATCCACTGGCCAATCCATAATCTTGCTTTTCTTTTCCTCGAACCATTATGTAACTTTGATTGCAGTATAGATCAGGGTATTTTCCTGCCGAAGCACCATGTTGCCTCCCATTAATGTACGAAATGTATTGTGAAATGATAAAAGATGAGTCACTAGAATTCGAGGATAAATATTTGTATTGATCTTTTCTTTTTTTATATTCGTCACAAAATATTAACGATCCTTTCGTTTCTCCTGCGAAACATCACCAAACCATTACTGAATGTCGACCACTTTTGAAAGTGGGTCTAAGCATTCAACATTAAACCTCCCTTATTTGTCGTGATTGTTTTCCAATCTCCACGCTTGATTCATTCGGAAAAATGATCTTCCACCAATCGAAGGCGGTTTTTTATGTGTTTGACATCCTGCTGGACATATAGTATAGAGAGAAAAATATGAACTAGAAGAAAAAATATGGACCTAGAATTATTACATTAGATGCATTAAAAGAAAGATTCTTGGTGTTTACATTTGGGATAGCACATACAGTCACACCTCCCTAAGTGCATCCCCCTTGGGGCCATAGTAAAAAAATAAAAAGTGTGCATTTATAGAGATCAAAATATATAGATCTCTTATAAACTGGGACCAGAATATACCGTGCATTTAGAGAGGAGTTATATAGTGCGTGCACTTAGGGAGGGTGCACTTAGAGAGGTGTGACTGTATTTTAAAATGCATTTATGTTTATTATTATTGTTTTGATTGTTTTGCTGGTGTTATTACGTATTTTTAAGTTTCACCATTTTGGATTATATCATACGCGTTTTATAAAAAATATCACCAATAAGAAGTTAAAAGCAGTTATTTATATGATAAAAAGCAACAAATGAATGATATTTCAATATTTATTCATTTATTTCATTCATATATAAACCACATGTATAAAAGAAATATGCATTATATGAATGAAATAAGTAGCAATTACATTTTTGCTCGCTATATATTAATAATTTTTGTATTTTGTAGGAATCTTTATTTCTTCATCAAGTTTTTAAGATGGTTTTTAATTTTTATCTGTTTTAGGACTGTAATAGTACTGAAAATGCAACGCATTTGTTTCATATATGTTTCACATTAATAGAGTAGATAAAGTTCCCGAGCAGTTGTCTGTTTTCTGGAATAGAATTCCAATATTTTTTGATAATAAATTTTGCACCATCCGGGGCAGTTTTTGGTATTGTAGGTCATACTCCTTTATAAATGTCTGATACGAGATCTCTATCGTGACTTCGTTCAAAGCTAATATCTGCAGCGCTGGTGTATGGTCTTCCATTTGGCACCTCTGGATTATAAAATGAAAGTACTCTACAAATTTTTTGCTTAGATTTTTCTATATTTGTTGGAATACCAAGTCCAAAATCAGGATTATGATATATTTCCAGGATGAAACGTCACTATTTCTGTGAATGTCACTGAGATTACTGATAATCTGATTTATTATCAAACCAAGAACATGTATATCGTCTCTGGTTTTTTAGTTATTCCATAACGATAATATATAATACATGTATTATAATATTTAAGAACAGTCTGCACTTAATCTTTAAAAAATTTGATAGTATCAGGACCTTCACTTCGTGTAATGAATGATTCTATGCATAAATTTATTTTCTCATGATCCCAACCATGTTGCTTTATTTTGCATGTCGGTAAATCTTCCATTCAAATACAATTTATTAATTTTGTTGGGATTCTTTTTATTATCCCTGTAAAAAGTAAATCAAGCAAATCTACTGATACTAATACGTGATAAACAATTACAAAAACTATGATAGCGATATAAATTCGTAATGATAAAATTAAGAGTTTATGTTAAAAAAGTAATTTTTATGCATGAAATAAATTATATCTATCAATTTTAAACTTTCTAGAAACACTATTTTATATTATCGTAGAGCACTGCCTATAGTATCCCCCTGCTATTGTATCCCCCCATAAAATAAGACCGGGTATACTACACGATATCAATTTTGGAAAATTGTAAAGTACCCGGATATTTTTCAAATTATAGCTTGTAGTGTTTTGAATAAGACCCGAGCATGTTATATATTTATTCAATGATTATTGTTACATATTTAGTCCTCCCAATTATTAATATATGTTGCTATGTTTTATAACTTTCACTATCACTTTTTATCAATATCATGACCATCTTCTTCTATATTATGACTATCTTCATGATTACTAGAAGATGAATCATGTACTTCACTTTCTTGCTGAAGACGAATTCCAATAGTATTAGTACTATTATGTTGTACATGTGAAAAATCAAGAATCAATTTTTCCTCTGATCTATTCATTTTATTGAAATGCCACAACACTTGAATGATTTTTGAATTAATGGCATTTTGATTTTATTCCAAGCTTCTTTCACCTATCCAGCAACTGTTATATAGAATGGTCATTTGATTTTGCCAGAAGGAGTATATTCTTTTATCTTGTTCATCATCTATTCATTATAAATATAATGAATCTGTGTAAAAATGAAAAATATTATAAAATTTCTAGATATTGATCTAATTATCTTTGCTTTAAAGATTTGTTAAGAGTCTCATCCAATGATTAAAATTGTAAGATCAAATCTCCAGGAATTACTACCATATCAGTTTTTTTTGAACCATTATTTATTGCATCCATAATATATGTTGAAAAAGAATTTAAAACCAAAAGTGATTGAGAATTATTATCTTGTGTATATTTATATCAAACATATTCAATTTATCATAACATTTCAATTTCATTTATCTAATTATTTAGATTTATACAAATAATAATATTATTAGAAAATTTTTGTTATGATATATTGACCAGTTTAAAAATAATAACTAGAGATAACTTGGTTCTATCAGCAAGATAAAATAATATTACTATAAAGTTAATTTTTTCATGGCCTGTAAAAATAATGAAAACTATTTTAACATTATATTCATTAATAGTTTTGCTAATAAATATATTGAATATAATTACTATTTCTTCAATTAATACTAATGAATATTTATATTATTAATTTATAAACTTGTAATAAGTTAAAAATCTATTAATTCACTTTTAGCTAATAATAGTATATTAAATATCTGGATATAAGCTTTAAAACTCAGATTTTTGTTTCATATTTCATATTTTTGTATGAATTATATACTGAATAATAATTTTTAAATTTTGATACATCTCTTTAACTCATTAAATTAATATACTTTCTAATTCTAAATTTTTTGATAATATATTTTTGCTAAGTTAACAAATATAAGAGACTACTACTTAAAGTTACTTCTTTTTTACTATTAATCACAAAGTTATTTTAATATTATTTTAATTTTTCAGTTATAAAATAAATAGTATAATTATATTTATGATATATAATAACTATTAATTTTTCTCAAAATAATTACTAATATTATTTTTTTAATAAATCATATATATTTTGCTTATATATTATTATAAATCATTTT